AAGGCGGGAAGGGATATCGTTAGGATAGACAGACTAGGGAAGACATTTATGAGCCACCTTTGGCAAAGTAGAAAGGAACGACTGGCCATCGGTGATCGGTCCTGTGGGAACAATGCTCCGTCCTCTCGAGGACGCGTGGTTAATGGTCTAACCACTAAGGCATGCAAAACATAAGAGTACACCCCCCCCCCCGTATGTACACACTTTTGATTAGAAAGTGTTCGAGTTTTATTATCCCTCTGTGACGCCTTGTTTTCATTGGTCAGCCGGATAGCGGTCGATGCTAATAATAAAAAACGCGCACACACTACCTGCGTTGTCGTCCCGCTGCCGATTCTGTCGTGTGTCGCAGACGAGATTCGCTATTCCCGCCGGCGATTGTCGGGCCGAGTTCCGCCGCCCTCAGCAACGACGGCGACAGCAACAACATGACCAACGGAGCGTTGCCGTCGCAGGCTGCAGAAAACAAGAACAAGAGCGGCGGTGCCGACGAAACCAGCGACGACCACGACATCAGTAGTGCTGCCACCGCCGCAGCGGGGTTTCCGCTGCCGCTGCCACCGTCCGACCCGCAGGCGCTGCCCCGCCTGGGGTGGTACCTGTACCTGCTGACCAAGGACGTGCTCGGGTTTCGCAGCTCCAACGCTGCATTCGTGCGCTGCCTCAACCTCGTCCTCGCCGCACTCGGCGCCGTGGTGTGGAACTCCTCTTCTTCTTCGTCTTCTTCCTCGTTTCCTCGAGGCTGCTACTCGCGGCGGCGTTCGTCTCTCCTTACCGACGGCAGCGGCGCAAGCGGGGGGCTAGAGGGCGGGCGGGAAGTGGCTAGTGCTCCTGCTGCTGATTCAGAACCAACAACGGCGGTGGCGGCTCAGCGGGCGGGAAGTGAAGGGGGGGAGGCCGTCGAGAGCGAAACCATGGGGACCGGCGGGGGCGGCGGGGGCGGCGGCGGCGACGGCGGAGATGGCGGGGTGGGCACGTACGGCGGCGAGGCGGCGCTACTTGCCAAGCTGAGCGCCAGCGGCAGGTGCCCGGCGGAGGAGGTGCGGGCGATGAGCACGCACGTGGTGGAGGTGATCGAGGCGCTGCTCCAGGAGGGCATCGTCGTGTCTCACCGCGCCCCCGCCCCTGCCACCTCCTCACCGTGTACAGGAGGAGAGCATGGCACAACCATTGCTACTGCTGCTGCTGCTGCTGCTGTTGATGTGTCTTTGATGGACACAGCAGCAGACGAAAATGCTGCTGCTCCCGTTGACGTGCCGCGACATCAGCAGTTGGCCAGCCGGGCGGAGCGAGTCGCCGGAGTGTTTCACCCCTCTGTCGCCGGGGAGAACGTGGACAGACTCGACGCGTGCTACTGGGCGCGGGTGTCACAGCGGGGGCGGGGCGGGGGCGGGGGTCACAGGGGCGTTGTATTGGACGAGGCATTTGTGCTCACGCCAGACCTGAGGTACGGAGTCAAGTAAGCTGGGTGCGCAGCCGTTGTGTTGATGGTGGTGCTGCTGCTGCCAAGCGGTGGTTGGTTGGCGAAGGGAAGGCGTGGTTTCTGTCTCCTACACGTCAGCCAAGCTGCCGTGGCTTCGCTCGTCTCCTGCTGCTGACCAAGCCGATTTCATGATAACTTCGAACTGCAGCAGCATCACATACCTGCGTGGTTGTTTTTGATGTGTCGCACTGCTCCGATGTTTTACGTGTGTTTACAGGAGAGCTAAATTGCCGTTTATTCCGCTGCTGTTTGTCACGCTGGTTCGACCGCGCTTCACGTGCTCTTAGCCCTGACCACTTGCGGCGTTTATCGTTATACCTCCGCCACCCCGTTCGGATGCTGCAGAGATACCGTTGGAACTCCCCACTACGGAGGGTCTACCCCTCGCAGGTCTGCTCTGACGCCAAGCGTTTCTCGCACAAGCCGACAGCTCTTCCAAGACTACCAGAGGGTGGGGAGATTGCATGCATGACACTTGTTTTTGTTTTGGTCCGTGTGATGTACACACTCTTCACGGCACGGCCTTTGCTTTTTAGTGGGGACTCTCGTGGGTTGCACAAGATATGACACCCCCCTGGACCGATTTGGTCCGGTGAGAACCCGGCGTGCTCCGTCCCGGCTTTGTAGCGATGCGAGGTCAATGGTCTAACGACTACGGCATGCACGACCATGAGTACACACACCCCCCTGGACCGATTTCCAAGGCTCGATTACTCGGCAAGAAAATTGGTGACGGTGCCGAAAATTTCAGCGATGGAACACCTTTTCGTTGAGAGCTTTCCAAAAACTTTGATATCGGCATCCTCTTCGTCGTGGAGAAACGGAGTGTTGAACATCGGTCCAGGGGGCGTGGTATCTTGTGTCATATACGGTACTAGTTTAGCGGTCTGGCTAGCGCTGTGTTGGCGTAACTTTTTCCCTCCCGTCGGGAAGAAACTCGGCGCATCGGCCAAATCGCCGCGTTTACTCCCTCCCCGGCTTCGTCTCTAGAGGGATATGAATAGTACATTGATGTACGGCAAATGGCCGAATGAGCAGAGTAGGCAAGCATCAAGCTAAGCACCTCCCCCCCCCCCCCCCCCCCCCCCCCCCCCCCCCCCCCCCCCCCCCCCCCCCCCCCCCCCCCCCCCCCCCCCCCCNCTTTCTCCCATCTTCTACTCCAGGTCTCGAACGCCACTGCCGTCGAACCCCAGGAGCGAGGGGAGGGTGAGGCCCAACATTGCCTCGCCCTGTCCTTCGGGCCCCCGGAGGACAGCAATGGACCCTCCGCTAGCTCGGCAGCAGCAGCAGCAGCAGCAGCAGCAGCAGCAGCAGCAGCAGTAGCCGCTGTCCAAGCCGGCTCACCTGCCACCGAAAGCCAAGTCAGAATGGCAGCGGCGGCGGCGGCGGTGGCGACGGCCGCGGGTAGGTTTCCGGAGTCGATCTTGCCGCCGGGGGACCGACAGGCCGGAGGAGGCAGTCCCCGAAGCGGCGGGGTTGGGGGTGGCGGGTTCGGCATCTTGCGGGACCCCTTGGCGTCGCGGTCGTCGAGGCTGGGTGGTGCGGCCGGCATGGCGGGTATCGCCGTAGGAGGAGGAGGGGGTGCCAGAGGAGGCCCCCCTGAAACTCCCGTCATGGCCGTTATGGAGGCAAGAAAGTTTTTTATGTTGTGTGTGTTTTTCGTAGTGTGTGTGTTTCCGCTTAGCAACAACATTGCAACAAACAACATCGACAACACCAACCACTTTTTCTTGCCTCCATAGCGGGCAGGCCACTGGCGACACGCGCGCGAAAAATAGACACGCTCCGAAAAAACAGAAAAAAACAAGCATTTCTTCTTGCCTCCACGACGGCCATGACGGGAGTTTAGTACCGGAACTACCTGGAGGACGCGCTGGCTTTGGGTGCCAGGCTCGGGTCGCCGACGCTTTTCGTCATACTAACCGCTAGCAGGTTGGTCCGACCGACCTGGACCAACCTGTTGGCGGTCAATGTGACGAAAAGCGACCAAACCAACCTGCTAGCGGTTAGTATGACGAAAAGCGTCGGCGACCCGAGCCTGGCACCCAAAGCCAGCGCGTCCTCCAGGTAGTTCCGGTACTAAACTCCCGTCATGGCCGTCGTGGAGGCAAGCAGTTCATTTTTTTTTTTTTGCGTTGTTTTGGAGCGTGTGTTTTTCGCGCGTGTGTTGCCAGTGGTCTGCCCGCTAGGAGGCAAGCAAAACTTGCTGTTTTTCGGAATGTTGTTGGCAGCAGCTGCTCATGTTGATGTTGATGTTGCTGTTGATGTTGCTGTTGCTGTTGATGTTGATGTTGATGTTGATGTTGCTGTTGATGTTGATGTTGCTGTTGCGGATGCGGCGGTCACAACGCCCAGCAGAGCAGCAGCACAGGAAAACCTGGTGAAGTTTAGATAAGAGGGCAGCGGAAGCAATGTTGGCGTGCATGTATGCTACGATGAACACACGCTACACGCCACAACAGGCTAGCGTGTGTTTGACTTCTGCGCCATACTCATACTGGTGTGGCTCCGCGTTAGGAGGTACATCCTGCCTCGCGGCACGCCCTACGGGCCCCCCTTGTGGTGGCCAACCCCCATGTCGCGCCATAGGGGAGTTTATAACCTGCCTGCGTGCATGTGTTTGTGTTGGGTGCACCAAGTTGCCTGCCTGGGTTGCACGGCGGCCGGGGGGTTAGCTTCTTCTGTACCACCTGTGTCCCGCCGCCCGTTGTGGTCGTTGTTGACAATTCCGTCCGTCTCTGGTGGTGGTTTGGTGGCTTTACGCGTGCGTGCATCTCTTTTTTATTCTGGTCACCACTCTTTTCTTTCGTTTTTCTCGTTTGCACCGTCACGCTCGCCCTCCCTCGCACAAAAAACTCGGAAACCGAAGACCGTGAGGTGGATCGCCGGTCTAGACGCCGGGATCAGCGGGCCGCCGGACTCGCTGTTGGACAAGCTAAAGAAGTAAGCTACCAGGGTCGAGGATATACATTGCATGAGTCTCGATGGAGCGATGCTGAAGAGACGCATGGTAAACCCGTAGTTTTTCGTAAAATGGGTTTCGGGCGGTGGGTAGTATCATGTATATCTGTCAATCTGTCCGTCTGTCTGTCCAGCTGTCAGTCATGCTACGTGTTCGTCCCGTCTTCCATGCATTCTTCGCGGCTCCCTCAGTCCAAGACATGAAAACGGAACACACTATCTGTCCGCATTTTTTCACAAAGCATCGTTATCTTATCCTTGTGTATGACACTACTTTTCGTTCGCTCCCGTTGCGTTTACCGTGGATGTTGCTTTTTGTTCTCGGGCGGTGCGGTCAGGTGCGCGACGGTGTCGCCGAGCCAGCTCCAGCAGCGGTTGGCCGGCCTCATGGCCAAGCTAGACGGACCAGCGGCGGCGCAGCAGCAGGTGTGTGTGCGTGCGAGCGTTGTCATCCTTCTGTGCTCGCGGGAGATTTGTTCGTGCGTATGACGCTCTAATAACGTGAAGCCGCAGCACTTCTTTCGACTCTTCGTCATCGTTTGCCTTCTTCTGTCGATCGCTCTGATGCATCAACCGGAAGGACAGGCACTTCCTACATACACAGGCGCGCTTTACCGTGTACTACGCAAGTAACATAAAATGCAACCTCCAGCATACCCATGGTCTCACGATGTATAGGGATCCGTTTCTGGTCAAACGTCGCCCATTTACCTGTTACCTCCTGTTCCGTCCTCCTTCTCCCACCCCCTTGTCGCTCGCCTTCCCCCCCCCCCTTCCCGAACACCCTCTCTTCCCCTGCCTCCCTGACTCGGCTTCGCCTATTGTTGAAAACGAAACTAGGACGCCGTGAGCAGCCTCACGTCGTCGTTTCGACCAGCAACGAGCTCGCCGGACGCCAGGGGCTCGGATCTGGAGGCCGGTGTTGTGGGGGATGCGAAGAAGAAGGCCGAGGCTCTCTACTACTCCACGCTCGAGGTGCGTGAAGTGAAAACCATTTTCTTACAAGATAAAACAGGTAGTAGTAAAGCCGGAAACAAACGATACGATACAAGACGTAATTATTCGCCCAGAAGGAAGCAGCATTGCAAATCAAGGAGAAAGAAGCAGCATACATAGCAAATCAAGGAGAAAGAAGCAGCGTAGCAAATCAAGGAGATGGTGAAGCCGGGAACTAACGACACAGGACTTGGTGTTACACCCGGGATGAAACTGCGTCCGTGAAAACAAACATGGGCATCCCCAGCACATGGCAGGCTTATGTCATTGAAAACGGTGCGGTCGGCGTGAAAAGCGTTGGCGGTGGGTTCCAACGCGATACTGTAGACGTTTGCCTTCGAATGCTCTCTCCCCCACCCCGCCGCCTCCTTCAACCAGGTGACCCAAGTTCACGAGGGATCCTCTCCCATGCATGTCACAGCAAAGAACATGATCGTCTCCCATTCGTTTCACGGCAAAGAAGTGGTAACCTCTGCACCCCCGATGAATAACCCCCCCGCCTGGTCCGGTGAGAACCCGGCGTGCTCCGTCCCGGCTTTGTAGGGATGCGAGGTCAATGGTCTAACGACTACGGCATGCACGACTATGAGTACACCCCCCCATATCCCAGGTGTTGCTGGAAGCAGAGACGGAGCGGTTGCGCTCCGAGGATCACAGCCGCCTTCTCGAGCAGGAAACCTTGCACAAGGCTCTCCTAGCTTGCTGCCTCGAGGTGAAGTATCCAGGTTATCTGTTTCTGCATAAGTTGTGCATACCCGTTGTTTAGGTGCGGGGGTCATCGCAGCACACACATTGTGGTACCGCGTGTCCGGAGGCTGATTGACCGTGAGGCTGGCAATCAATGCCGAGAGGGGTGGCGTTGGCAAGGTGCAACGTAATCTTGGAGAGTCTGTCTTCCCTTGCACTCGTCGTTCTGTTTTCGCGCCTACTGCTGTACCCTCTTGGTTGTGGACGAATCGAGCCTCGAAACCCAATCCTCCATGTGTGGGGTGTGCCTCCACCCGCACGTGCTACGGTAGGCGTGGTGTGTCGTGATATTCGGAGTGTGTTGTTGCTTCTGCGGCGCCATCTTTTTCCGGCAGCAGTGGCAACATGTTGTGTCGCTGGATCTTGAACGCGTTTGCTGTTCCTATCTGTCGTGCTTCGCGTGCCATCGCAACCGCCAACACCAATCACGACGTCCACGCCACCACAGCAGCGGCATGGGGGGCGCAACACACACGTTTCTGTTGTTTTCGCTCTTTTTTTCCACGCCGACGAAGAGGACAGCAGCTGGGGCAACTTAAGGCGTGACCGGAGTACATACTCTACTCTCAAGAATGATTGTCCGTTTTTCTGCACGTACTTTTTTTTTTTGTAACCCCTCAACACGCCATACACCACAAACCACACCGCACAGGCGGTGTTGAAGGCGAGCTCCCTGCTGAGCCTGACTTTCCCGTGGGTGCTTCGGAGGATGGATATCGACGCGCTCGACCTGTGCAAGGTGCTCGAGAGCTTCGCGCGCTTCTGTCCGGGCCTCCCGGTGAGTTGAGTGTTTGAATAGGCATCGACCGCGCTAACCAGCTGACCTGGAAAGTCGTCAATCTTGTAGAGGGATAACAATAGCATGAACACTTTCTATTCAAAAGTGTGTGGTATTCGAGTAAGCATTACTGCGCTAACCGAACTGACGGAAAACTAGCATGAACAGACTGCGAAAGGAACAAATAAGCCAGGTAGCGTATTGTGCTTTGAAACGATGTGACGTTCTGTTTTTTTCTTTGACAAGCACAACGGTTGGCAGATGAACGTGCATGTAAACACGCCTCGCCTTGCCGGGTGTCGATTATGTTCTGCTTGCTAACCGCCTTCGACGCGCTTTTGTTTATGCGATGGCGGCGCAACGACTGCTGCTGCCGACGACGACGACGACGACGATAATGATGATGGTGATGCAGATGAATCTCAAGTACCACCTGTTCGAGGTGCAGACGGAGATCGTGGAGAGACTGGCCCTTGAGGCCGGGGCGGGAGTGTTCAGGCTCATCGAAGAGCACAAGGTACACCGCGTTCTAGTACCTTCTGTCACAGCTGCGTGGGGATTGTGCGTAGGCATGGTGATGTTTGGTGGCGGGAAGCGAAGGACTACAGCGTGTAATTTTTTCCCTCGTTGCGACTCTCTTGCTGACTTTAGTGTGATTCCACCTGTCCGCTATCTACCCAAGGCAAACAAACATGTTCAGTAATATCTACACCCATCCAGATTGCCTCTGTCTGGCCCACCCCCTCATGATGAACGGGTGCACCGACGCTGGGGACGAGGGCGGGTTTAACACCCCTCGCCGGCCCCCCCCCCGGTGTTTGCCATCGGGGTTGGGTTTTCGTCGCTTGGCAACGACGTTGTAAAACAAGCCGATCCACTTCGTGAACTCGGCAACCAGGTTACCGTTTTTTTTTTTTCCTCCGTTTTTTTTTTTGGCGGTAACCATAATGGTGGTCGAGTAGATCATGTTGTCCGCACCACGTTGTGTTAAAATGGTCAAACACCCTCGAGGCAGTTACACAGTGCTTACAACTGGCTCTGGAAGTGAATCACCAGAAAATACATTAAGTCATACGCAGCTGTCATCCGCACGCAAGGAAGCAAGCACAAATTGCCGAACAACCTTAGCAGGATGCAGCGCACCCTTCATCCGACTCGCCGAATACCTCACGGCGCTTCGCGCTTGGTGATGTGA